AAACATTTCGATCATGGATTACAAAAAATTCGATTATGGATTACAAAAAATTCTATCATGGGTTACAAAAAAAAAAAAACAAAAAATTTGATCATGGATTACAAAAAAAAAAAAAAACAAATTCGATCATGGATTACAAAAAAATCTATCAAGTATTACAAAAAAATCTATCATGGATTCCAAAAAAAAAAAAAAAAAAAAAAAAAAAAAAAAAATTAACGTATGGGACTTGCCGATTCCGTACAGTGAATCGGCGAGTCGCTGTACAGAATCGTCCGGTTCTCTCTAGAACCGGACGATTCCCGTTTTTTCGCCGATTCGATCCGTCCATGGCGACTCCCGAGTTGAAGCGGGCGAGTCCAGTTCGACTCGATGATTTTTTAAACACTGCATTAAACATTGAAATGGATTGCAACTTTAAATAGCAAAAACGTTTTCCCCGAGATAACATTTTTGAAGAGAGAAGATGCAATATCTTCATGAAATCAGTTGGCAAGGTAGATTTAGCATATATATTTGGCAAATTGGACATAATAATTACCAAATGTGACAATTTTAAAGGAGAGGATCATAATTTATAACAAGAAATAGACAGGAATACAATTAGCACTTTATCAAATCTTTCTTGCAACATGTAGTTATTAGACATTTAGGTAATTGTACATAACCTAAGAAGACAACATTCTTTGGTACTTGCACATAACATCTTATATGGGTCATGGAACCCATATGTAAATCAGATCATCCATCTCTTCTATATAAGGGCCTTGACAGTATTATTTATAATAACAAAGGGAGAGTTTCAGCTTGTGTTACAGAATTAAAAAACTAATGTTATGGCCAACAGCCTCACTGTCTTAGGGCATGCATCATCCTGCTAAATTGGGAACCATGCTCTCACTAAAGATAACTTTTTATAAAGAAAAAAAAATGTGTAATAGAAGCACCAAATCAAACTGACAGAAAAGCAAAAGAGCAAATCTAAGACGTGAACTAACAAAAGATGATGTAGCTTTCATTCATGATTACAATTATACGCTGGACCTATTGACTTCCAAATATTCTACTACTAAAAGCGAACCAATTCATGTGGCTCTGAAGAAAATAGATTCCTAATTATGGCAAGTCAGAAGAGTTCAAGGACCACTGACATTGGCTATTGCATCCAGTGAAGGCATAGATGGAACCCCATAGCAAAATCTGCCTCTCCCAAAGCTTGCTGCGTTTGCATCAAATTAACATTTTAAGAATCCTCTCAAGTAAATAATCAATATGCACCACCTTCCCAAACTCTACAGTTGGCATAAGGGAACAGTAGACATTGTTTTATGAACCCTAGGGAATTCACAGAAGCATTGCACTTCCAAAGTTTTTCATCTTCAATTAGTCGAGGTTCATTAAGCTTGTTTGGCCATTCTACTTCTTCATCCCTCAATCAGGCCTTCAAATACACTTAGGATAAACTTTGGATACTACATTTCTCATTTGCAAATATAGCATTTTAGGTTCCTACATATTTTTTTTTCTTCTTTTTTTTTTTTCTTTTTCTTGTCTTTTCTAATTTGGTAACATGATTTTATTAACGAGTTACTGTACAAAATTATTTCAAAACCTAGTATAAAGCCACGGTTCAGAATCCTCAAAATTGAAGTAAAAAAGGAATGGCACTACAAAATAGTTCTATGCATGGCGCTACAAATAGTTCCGTCCTATGAATACACTGTGTCATTAGGGTATCTGCTAAACTATTTTCTCCATGTATGCACAAAAGTTGTTTCTATCTCTATACATCCATCAAAAATCTCATCAAAAAAGTTAGCCAATCACCATGGTATTGTTAATGATCTTTTGGCACACTTTGTAGCATTGAGTAAATCTCCCTCAATGCTAATTGAATTCCATCTATGACCAATTCCAAGTGACAATTTGAAAAAAAAACTCATTCAATGCAATAATGCTCCAATTACATGAATTTTACATCAATGTATACATTTTCCAACCACCAAAATGTCTCCTTTTATACTTCAAATGAAAAATAACAACTCTAATTGGTCCCTTGACAAAGTCCACACAAGATAAAACAAGTACATCGAATCAATACAAGAATATACACATGTAATCCAAATTACAGCACCATACAATTTGCATTGCCAAATTATATGTCACTTTGAAATTTCATCAAACATATTAAAATCAATGTCCTCCACCAAAACGGTTACTCCAACATGCATAATGGATTTGATCATGGTAAGCCATATATCGAGCTCATTTTTGCATGGTCTACGGCCAGGGACTTAGCCATATACCATGGGATGACTTCTATAAAGGCATTAAGATGTAAGCTAAAATACATCAACATAAACATTGCATACTCAATTATCCATGGCACAAAACATTTAACTACTTAAAATTACAACAAAGTAAATATGACGAATCAAGGGGAAGCCAATTGTCGAACTCATTGTGCCCTGATCACAAATCAGACCTTTTAGGGTTCTAATTTTGTACCATAGACGACAGCAAGATATAGCTTATAAACACAAGGGCTGAACCCACGTAATTAATGGGAAGCTTGTGCACACTTTCTTACCACTAAATTGGCTTCAAAATGTGAGAGAGAGACAAAATATCTAATGGTCAAAACAATTGGTAAAAGCAAGGTATAGACAGCTCACATAGGATGGGAGTATATGGCCATGGAATAATGACATTGAGAATAGTTTCTCAAAGGGGATGCTCTAGGATGATAATCTCACAATCTAATACTCAAATAAACATTAAATGTTTGCTGATATGCATCAAAAAGTACTCCAAAATTTTCAGAGAAATTAGGTGATAAAAACTTGGGAAAATAGTGTCCAAATAGCATGAATCTAGTCTAGACTATGCATATGATGTAGTATGGATGCATAGCTGCAAATACTCATAAAGGACGAAGCATGTATGGATAAGCTACTATAATCACAGATTTACAGCAAGCAAAATGGATGGAAGTGAAGCTTTTCACTAAAGGAGATGAAACCTCATAGAGGAGATACCATGGATGGAGGGTTGAACTTCATATGGACATGGGAGAACACCTTGCTTCAAGAGGGAGAAGGGAGAAGGCTAAGAAAGTGGGGCGTGAGGCTCCTCTCTCTCTCTCT